AAGAAAGAAAGAAAGAAAGAAAGAAAGAAAGAAAGAAAGAAAGAAAGAAAAGAAAAGAAAAGAAAGAAAAAGAGAAAGAAAGGAAGGAAGAAAGAAGAGAAAGAAAGAGAGAGAGAAAGAAAGAAAGAAAGAAAAAGAAAAAGAGAAAGAGAAAAGATTTTATTTTTAAGTAATCTCTACACCCAACCTGGGGCTCAAACTTACAACCTGGAGATCAAGAGTCACATGCTCTACCAACCAGCTAGGTGACCCCTGGGGATCCTTTCTGATGCTTGATAGGAACACTTTGAGCACAAAGTTCTACTTTACTTACACGAAGGGAGTAAAGGCATTAGAAACGGGCCTCAGTAAATGTAAGACAAAAGCATAAATAGGTTCTCTGCTTATGCATCACCGTTTATTACAAAGAGAAACCTACAATTATCTTTTTTAAGCAAAATTCAAGGCTCCAGGACTCATCTCTGGGGCCTGTCCCTCTTAAATACTAGTAGGAGAAGGGGAGAAGAGAGTTAGCTGCTCTTAGCTCCTACCAACGCTCCCTACCCCCTCCCCGAGTGCAGCGCCCTTTGAGGATGTGTGCGGGGAGCCATGGGGTCCCTCACCTGGCCTTCTGCAGCACCACCCAGCGTCCTTCTCTCCCCGCACACCTGGGCACCAAGTTCCAGGAAGCTTCCTTCTTGTGATGGAAAGTGAGCTCAAGTTCAGGGTCTCCACCTCCTCCAGCTCCAGGAAACCACCCCATCGTGTGGCTTCTGGAAAATTCACTCTCAGAATTGGTCCAGCGAACAGTTACAGGTAGAGAAGGTAGAGGGAGCAACTGAAACTCACCCTTGACCCTGTGCCCCTGGAGGAAGTGAAGTCTGTCCGCTCCCTCTCTCCATTTCTTGCCATGCCCACCTCCCTGCTGGCACCGCCACAGCGAGGAGGGCCGTCCTTCCTGGGTGGGGCTCTCATCCTCGGACTGGAGTGCTTCTGTATGTGCTGGGGGACGTGGGAGTACCCTGGGATCTCCCAGGCCTTCCAGAAAGCTGGGGTATATAAATACAAACCTAAAACCAGACATTTCCTGCCAGCAGGCATCAACTGCCCCCACGGCTTCAGCTGTGGCCAAGGAGGCCAGCGTGGCAAGCTCCTGTCTCAGATCCGGCTGACGGCAGGAGTGGGGAGGTGCTAGCATCCTCCTTGGCCCCCTTCACTGTCCTTTGTCTTCCCTGTCATCAAAGAGGTTGGGGTTCTCTGCCAACGTGGCTCGGACTTTCTTCTTCTCCTTGAAGCGGCCCGAATTGGAGACTTTGACATGCTTGCCCTTTGTGTTCTTGTCCACAATCTTCTCCAGGCGGGTGTTAAAGTTGCCGTCGGGGCCTCCGCCCTCGGGCCCAGGGGGCTCTGCGCTGCCCTCTGTTTGGGCATAGGTGTCGGGGATCTCATAGAGCACCTTGGGTGTGGATTTCTTTTTCCGCAAGAAGGTCAGCTTCCACCAGCCCACTTCGGTCATGGCGTTCCCCGAGCCAAGGGTGGGGCTTTCTGCAAGAGTAGGGTGGGACAGTGAGAGGAGGCAGTGGGCAGCAGGGGGGTACCTCGGAGCAGCCCTCTCTAAACTCCTAATCGTGGGCTATTTCAGTAGTCCAGGCCTGAAAGAATTGAAGGTGAAGCTGAATGAACCCAGGAAGAGAGGGGAGAGAGGGGCCTGGGGAAGGGGCAGCCAAGTGGACATCAACAGGCCAAGGGGCCGCGGGACAGCCACATACTTTTGCCATGCAGGGTTGTAGGGAGCTTTGAGATTCCAGGCCCCTCAGGGCTGCAGGGAGGTGAACGGCTTGCCTGGGTCACCCAGCACCCAGGCCACTGACACCCTTCCCAATTTCTTCCCACTAGGCCACCAGGCCCTGCCACCAGGAGCCGGCAGGTGGTTGGCTGGTATCAGATGGGTAGAAACACCCTGTGCATTTTGTTTAGTATTCATTATAAAATAAATAGGATTTACAATTTTGAGAGTAATTTGGACTTCCCAGTGGGGACCAGCAGGAGTGAAGGAGCCATTGTATTTTTCCTGAGCGGGAGGAAGCTCAGGCCGGGAGTGGGAAGTCCCGGGGACTGTACTAGCCTGTGACCTCTAGCAAGTTACTTCTCTGGCCCTCAGAGTCCTCAGCTGTCCCTTCCAGCCCTAACATTTAGCTCTAACGTTAATCCCTGCCCATGGAGGGAGGCATGCTTTGCAAAGTAAAACATGGTAACGTTAGTAATTATCGAGGAATGGTTCCTTTCCCCACCTAGCTTCCATGAGGACAGGAGTTTGCAGGGGAGCCAAAAGCTTGGATATCTGGAAGGTTTGGTGAGGCCACAAGGTCCACATGAGATACTGTTTAGACCAGGCTGGACCCTCCATAAGGTACCCAACAGAGGTGGGGCTTGGAGGCTAGAATCCAGGCATCCCCGCTGACAAGCAGTGCGTCCTGGCTTGGCCTCATCTTCTACTAATTTCCACACAGATGCTGTCTGAGCTAGTACGTGTTCTGGGAGATGAGGTTTCTTGGACATCGTTGCTGGTGGGGGACGGTGGGTGGAAGGTGGAAGAAAGAGACAGCAGACTGGAGGAATTCAGAGCAATGGAAGGGCAGGCATAGGGATGACAGATCAAGGCATCTGTGAGCCTGGAGAGGGTGGTGGTCTGGTTCTCAGGACTCTGCATGTGGCTGTGAAGGGTACTGGGGAGGAGCCAGTAGCCACAATACACCAGAAAGCTAGATGGTCAGGCAGCCCAAGCACAGGCAAATCTATCACCTCCTTTTTTTTTAAAAGTTTATTTATTTATTTTGAGAGAGAGGAGGGGGAGAGAGAGAGCATGAGTAGGGTAGGGGCAGAGAGAGAAGGAGAAAGAATCCCAAGCAGGCTCGACGCTGTCAGCGCAGAACCCGAGGAGGGGCTCCAGCTCACAAACCGTGAGATCATCACCTGAGCCGAGATCGAGAGTCGGACACTTAACTGACGGAGCCATCCAGGCGCCCCGTATGTTACCTCCTTTTAAAAACCAATGGTCTTAGCTATATTCTCTAAAAAGACCAGAAAGAAGTATGACAAATGATTAATAGTGATTTTCTTTATGGAAAAGGAATTGGGGGTGTTTTCTCCCTGTATTGTTTCTGGTTTCCAGATCTTCCCTAATGAGCAAGGATTTTTTTTTTTTTTTTTTT